CGATCTCCAAAAAAGGGTATCGGTACACCCCTAAAAAATATATATCCAAAATGATTTTAATTTGACAATCAACCATCCTGTAAAAAATTTTAATAACAATTATCCAAGAGGGGCTTAAGTATAGGTATTATTATGTTAATAATTATAAAATAAAAATGTATAATATACTTATATATGTTTAACAAAGTTTGTAGAGGAGTTTGTTGAACCTTTAATAACTTTTTTACTTGTGCAATTTTGACATTCAGCTTGAATCTTGTCCTTTTTCACTAAATTACTTTATAAAATTCAATCTAGAATTTTAAGATTCGGATTTGATTCAGGAGAACCTATCTCCATAATTTCATCTTCACTACCATGAATGTTAAACATTCTACAAATTAAAAAATATTACATATAAAATATATCCTTTACTTATTTAGTTTTGGTGTTGTTATTTTTAAACTATCTAATTTTATGACCTGTTAAATTTTCAACTAATTTTGGTTGTCAATATATTTAAAATATAGCAGGAAAAAATAAATAAAATAATACAAGATTTCACGATAAAGTTACATTGTATGATATGTAAATGTTTTATAATATGAGTATTAAAAAGAATCTGTATATTTTAAAGAAAATGAAAAAGATACAAGATTCTTTTCAAAATAAAGGATCTTAAATACAGATACTAGTATCTTATTAAAAATGTCAATAAGATACTGAGTACAAGATACAAAAGGATCTTGTATCTTGAATCTTAGATACAAGTATTCGCGGTACTGCCCAACTCTGGCTCTACACTTATAATAGGAAAGAATACACAAAATATAAATCTTTATGGTATTGTAAAACAATAAAAGATATTATGGAACTAAACTTAAACATGAAACAATTTATCAAGTTAAACAACTGCAAAAATTCCATAAAGAAGCTCTTCAGAATTAAAGACAAATATTTTAAATAAATATATCTGGGCTTATTTTTATAATGAACTAGTATTTTCCAAACCTTTTCAGGACTTCAGGACAAACCAAAATAAAATTGGTATACTCTTTAATTTTTTTTTTGTATGAATTTACAGCTTTAATTATAAAAAATTAAATTAAAAATCAGCCACAACCCACCTTTAAAGTAATTAACTTATACTGCAGTTCTTGGGCATAGGCTCTTGCAAAGGAACATGTATTGTGCTATTAAACAAAAACGTATTTTTATTATTAACTTTATTATAACTATCTTTTCCATTTTACACTTCGTTTATATACATATTTTATAAATCTAAATTAGAATACAATATTAAAAAAACGAAAAACAAAAATAAGATTAAAATATAAAAAAGTAAGGTTATAAAATATAACAAGTAAAATTAGATTATAAAAAATAAAAATTAGAAAGCAACGACGCAACATTCTCCCTCTTCTGAAAGCCTTCCCATAAATTCATCTAAGAGAGTTTGTTGTCCAAGTAGTATATCATTTTGGTAATCCAGTTGTATCACTAATCATCATAACGTTGGCTTGTCCCAATCGTGGGTTTGTTTAAATCGATTTAGCACGTTGGTTTGTTTAAATCGCAAGCTTGATATCGTAAGTTGTCTCCATAAATCATAACTAGTTTGGTAGTACTCAGTTGTTATTATTATCATTTTTCAAAATTGTTATTATCATCAATAAGTTGCGAATAATAAAAAATAATAGTTTATCATATTGGATATAAGAATAAATGAAGAATGATAAATCAATAAGATTGTTATATATTATTTTCAGCGTTTTAATTCTTTGCGTTTTAGTGTAAGCGTTTTAATATTTAATTTACTTTATACAATTTAATATTTATTTAATATTTTAAGTTATATAGTCTTTTAAATAAACAGGTTTTTTTTTAATTCGCACAGGTCTAGAAATAGGTGTTATATCGTTATTATCAGTAATTTTTATATTTTTGTCCACACTTCCCTCCTTAAAAGAATCCTTAGAGTCATAGTTAATAATTGTGTTAAAACAGTTTCTAATTCTTATTTGATCTAAATGTCTCCTCAAAATACCTTTCTCAGTCTTAATTTGGAACATCATATCACTTTCTTTATGTGTGATTATACCTTTGCACCATTTGTCATCACCTTGTACTTTGTACCAAACAAAATCTCCTACGTTAAAAGTTCTATTTCGTGGTAAAGTAACGTTTATTTTATTCTCCTTCTCCTCCATCGGTTTTAATAAGTCCCATTTAATTCTAATATCTCGATTAAACATTCTCTGAGATGGTGTAACTCCTGTAGTATCATTACGCGTATTTCTGTAATTAAATAAAAATTTGCTAATTGCAATATCTGGGTCAATTTTAATATTCCTTTTCATATGTGTTTTGAACGTTCTAACCATGCGTTCTACCTGGCCATTGGATTGCTGGTGATAAGCAGATGTAAACACATGTTTAATACCAAAATTGTTGCAAAATTTTTCAAAATCGTTACTCGTAAAGTTAGTGCCGTTATCAGTAACTATGGTTTCAGGTATTCCATATAGCGAAATAGTTTTAAAGATTTCTTTATAAGTAACATCAGTCGTAATATTTTTAACAGGAATAATAATTGGAAATTTACTATAGGCATTGACTATTATCAACCAATTTTTTGTGAAAAACGGACCCGCATAATCTATGTGTATCCTTTCAAACGGTTTGGTTGCCGAAACCCAAGGTTTTTGTATCTTTATAGGATTATCGTGATATATGTTACAATCGTCACAACTTTTCACTTCCATAACGATATCATTATTTATATCAGGCCACCACATGTAATCTTTGGCTAAGGATTTGATTTTTCCTGCTCCCAAGTGACCTTCATGTAATGACTGAAGTATATTTTTTCTCATAGAAGACGGAATTATAATTTTGTTGCTTTTATAAAGACAATCCTTAATTATACTTAATTCCAATTCAATGTTTTTATAAATATTATTCACAATAGGCCTGTTGTTATTAATATCACTTATGACTTGTTTTAATTCCATATCTTTCAAAGTTTCATCACGAATTTGATTAAAGTTAATAGGTAAATCCTCATATCCATTTATTATAGTTATGTTTTCAATAGTTTCATCACGATTTTCTTGTGGTAATCTCGAGAGACAATCAGGAACAACATTATATTTACCGGCTTTATACTTTATATTAAAATCATATCCTCCTAATGTTATATTCCACTTCTGGAGTCTTAACGACATAGTGCTATTATCCTTAAGACCCTTGGTAAAGATGTGAACTAGAGGCTTATAGTCAGTAATAATAGTAAATTTTGTGCCTATTAAATATTCCTGCAATCTCTTTATAGCGAACATTATGGCGAGAGCCTCACGCTCAATATTGGTATAGTTCATTTCAGATTTTAATAAAGTTCTCGACGCGAAAGCTATAGGTTTTTCTTTACCATCTTTTTCAATATGAAATAGTACAGCTCCTAAACCACATTTTGATGCGTCAGTGGCTATCCCTATAGGTAATTCAGGGTTAAAATATGTCAAAGCAGGTGGAAGACTAATCAACTTTTTAAGATCATTAAAACTTTTAGAGTGTTCTAGGTTCCAAGCCCATTTTTCTTTGTTGACAATCTTATAAAGAGGATCGGCAATTTCCGCAAAATTGTTCAAAAATTTTCTATAGTAGCCAGCCATTCCCAGAAATGTTGATAATTCAGCAGCTGATTTTGGTTCTGGCATATTAATTATTGCTTCAATTTTGTCGTGATTAGCATGAATCCCCTTAGCGTCAATATCATGACCCAGGAACCTCACTTTGTTTTTAAAGAACACACTTTTGTTGAAGTTAGGTATTAGCCCAAACGATGATATTCTATCAAACACTTTTTTTATGTTGTTAAGGTGGGCTTCATCGTTTTTTCCAGTTATAAGTAAATCATCAATATAAAATATGACGTCATCCATATCACCGAAGATTTGATCCACAATCTGTTGAAAAATTGCAGATGAGGTCTTAAGCCCAAAAGGAAGTCTAGTAAATTGGTAATATCCCTTGTGCGTAGATATGGTTAAAATATTTCTGCAACTTTTATCAATTGGTATCTGTAAGAAAGCATTTTTAAAGTCAATCTTCGTAAATTTCTTTCCTTCTGAAAGTTTAGCAATTAGATCATTGATTCGTGGTAGAGGGTATCTAAAATCTTCTGGAGCTGGGTTTACAGTGTCCTTAAAATCAGCACAAAGCCTAATGCTCCCATCATCTTTGTAGACAGCGGTAACAGGACTTGCCCATCGGACATCATTCACCGGCTCAATTATTTTATCATGTATCCATTTTTTAAGTTCATTACTAACAAGATCAATTTTTGAATAAGGAATACGTCTAGGCGGTATAATTTTAGGTTGGGCATCTCTTCTTAAATGTAAATTGACACTTGCTTTGTTGATTGGCCCATTAGTCAATTTGGATTCACACTCTATAATCAATTTTTTTATTTCATCTTCGTAATTAGTGTCAACATTTGCTATAAATTTATTTAAAATATTTTTGAAAGCATTGATCCACATACGTTCCAACAAGGCATTTTTACTTGATTCGACGACTACCGCTTGTAAACATTTTGAGATACCATCATAAGTCACTTTAACTTGAGTAGTGCCGATGATTTTGATTAAATTCCCGTCATAAGCGGTGAGTTGTAGCTCGGATTTCTTAAGATCTCTAATACCAAATTTTTTAGCCAGACCATGAGGTATAATCAGTGGCGTAGCTACGGGGGTGGTTTTCGGGTTTGGACCCCTCCCAGAGCAAAATTTTTTTTTAGATTATACGTTCAAAAGTCTTAAAGGTGATTTTATATCAATTATTGAAATTATTCTGGATAGTATTATAAAGTCATTGAGAATAATCTACTAAATTATAATAACATATTATTGATGCATTTAAAAAATATGTTTATTTTATATTATCGAAGATATGGTTATGATTTGTAAGATAAATCCGGCCGAAAGCCCCCCAGATTTTATATGTATGGACCCCCTCTAAGGAAAATTCCTAGCTACGCCACTGGGTATAATAGTGTGTTTGGAACCAGTGTCAACTTGCATACAAGTAACAATATCGTTCACTTTTAAAGTAGTCATAAATGCGTTATCTTTGTCATTAAGCATATCACCAGATAAATTGTTGACATTAAAATCATTATCATCTTTGTTCTTTGTAGAGTCCACTTTCTCTTCAATAATTTCTTCAATATTCATGTTGTAATCATTGTTGTATTGTATTTGCTTTCTATTATTTTCCTCGCCACCTCTATAAATATATGAGTTGTTGTTATATTGTATTTGCTTTCTCTGATTATTATCATTACCTCTATAATTATTTGAATTGTTGTAATAAGATTGGTAATTGTTACGATTTCCGTCACCGTATTGGATTTGTTTTCTTTGATTATTATTATACCATGTATTATTTCTACCATAATTCGATTGATTATTATTGTTATAGCGATAGTTGTTGTAGTTATAATTGTTATAATTATCGTGGTATCTCGAATTATTATTACCATAATTGTATCTAAAATTGTTATTGTAATTCCCATTTCTATTTCTGTTATCATAATTATTTCTAAAATTATTATCATTTCTAAAATTATTATTAGGTCTAAAATAATTATTGTCGTTTCTATTTTTACTGTAAAAGTTTTTCTCTTTAACGGATTTTTTATCATAATTTATATAACTTATATTATTGTCCTCTGACTTAATATTACTAGAGTCTAGTTTCACCCCTAATTCAACCATCTGGTTTAATGTTAAGTCAAAGTTTTTAGAGAATTTATATTTTATCTTATCATTTAAAGTAGAAGTACGTAGTTTTTCTTTTAATCTACTGTCGTCCAAAAAATTACATTTTTTATGAAGTTTCGATACTCTAATGTACCATAGCATAAAACTCTCTGATGAGTTTTGTTGAAGCAGATTAAACTTATTAATTAAAGTATTTAAATCTTGCGCTAGTAAAAGGTAAGTTAATTTTTTAATCACAATTTTAAGATCTAAAATGTCGGTATCAGAACAAATTGCTTTAATATCGTCAAAAACTTCGTCTGATAAATTATTAAGCAAAGTATTTATTTTAATAAGTCCGATAATGTACTGGTCGAAAAATAATTTAATATTCTATCTAAATAAATTTCGGTAAGAGGTCCCACTAACTTAGGAATCTTATGTATAAACTCTGGTTTTATCTCCATTTCTTATTAATAGGACATATCATTAAGAAATTATAACATATGATATTTTAATAATTTATGTTTTGACAAAAATACAAGTGAGTTGGATAAAATCATTATCGCTAAAAATGTAATGCTTCCATTCAAAGATTCGAAGCAAGAAATCATTTCTCTCAAATTGATAAATTCGAACAGAACGTCTTCTGTCCCACTAATTCTCGAATAATTTACATCACAATTATAAGTTAAGTCGAACAAGATGTCATAAATTGAAATTTTGTAGGGGATATTAATTAACTTGAACGAGAACATAATATAAAAAAATGAATTTACTTTTCAATCTTCTTGTATATATAGGGAAAATTTTTTTTATTTTTTAAAGAAAAACATTTAATTTCCATTTCTTATACCTTTTATGGAGCACCATGCAAAGGAACATGTATTGTGCTATTAAACAAAAACGTATTTTTATTATTAACTTTATTATAACTATCTTTTCCATTTTACACCTCGTTTATATACATATTTTATAAATCCAAATTAGAATACAATATTAAAAAAACGAAAAACAAAAATAAGATTAAAATATAAAAAAGTAAGGTTATAAAATATAACAAGTAAAATTAGATTATAAAAAATAAAAATTAGAATGCAACGACGCAACAGCTCTTTTTTTTGCCCCGCTCTTTTTCTTAAAGCCTATGGATGTCTGTAACATTTTTCGAAATGTTGCGCGTACAAGTACGTGCGGCTTGCCCACAAACGTGTAGAGGGCTCCTCATATTTTTTTTTAAATCTTCACCCTAATTAACTTATGTTCCAATTAGATGGAAATGAGTACCTAGCGTAGCTCTGTTGTTTATCCAACCCAGAGGCCATATGCGCTATATATCGCATATCACAGAATATTTATATTCAAGTAACATTTTTAGCCTAGCTAGCTAAATATTTTATCCATTATTTTGTTATATTTTTTTATTTTCTTATTCAAATTAACATCCTAAAATAAAATTTGTAATATAAGAATAAATTCATTTCATTTTAAATTATCTAATCCTTGTAATATAGCTGATGTTATAACAAGGAATACCACCCAAATGATTTTAAGAACAATGAAGTAGTTTATGTTTGAATAAATTTAAATATCTGCTGCCATATTCGAACAAGATATAAAAACCTTAATAACACCTGACCTTTATATGTGTCAAATTGGTCAGGTCATTGACAGAATGCTAATCGTCTCATTTTCGGAAAAAACTATCTTTAGGCTCGTAAATTAAAATTTTGTTTATGAGCCATGGACTTTATCAAAATAATAATCCAACAAATAATGACTTAATTACTATAACAGATTTACCCAAAGAAATTTTACTATTTATATTTAAGCTAGTTATTAAAAATGATATTGGCTCAAACTTATACAATATATCATTGGTTTAGTTATTTAATGAATATAATGACAATTATTAATATTTTTTTGTAGGCATGCAGAATTTTTTATTACTGCATAAAAGGTGAAACTATATGGGTTGAGGCATGCAAACAATTATGGGATAGCAAAAAGCAAATAATAATTATTAAAAACAAAAAACAGCATATGGGTAATACTACTACCACAGACTTAAAATTATATGATGGGAACATTTATTATTCTTCATGGAATGAAATGTTTCATAAACGAGCTCATCCAAGATTTGATGGTAATTATAACCGAATTTATAATTTTTAATATATTTATTATCATTTTGCAATATTAAATTTATAATCTATAAATATGTGCAATATAGTTAACCCAGTTTTACCTTCATTTAAGTTGATTTTTTAAACATCTTGCAAATATATAGGTATAGCCAAGATTATAAAACATGAATTTATATGTTCAATATACATTTTTTACAATCACTATATGAAAATAAATATTTTAAATTTATACAAATAAGATAATATTACTGAGTCCAGTTTTACCTTCATTTAAGTTGATTTTTTAAACATCTTGCAAATATATAGGTATAGCCAAAATTATAAAACATGAATTTATATGTGCAATGTAGAATTTGTTGCGATTTTGTAAGTACATCACTTTACATGTTTTAAGTACTGCATATATAAGGTTGCCATATGCAGTGTCCCCTACAATGGAGGGGGGGGGTCTAAAGTAGTGTTGTTAAATGGCTCGTTTTGAGCCGATTTTTTGAAACGGCTAACTCAATATTTCATCCAGAATTACGCAAGCCTCTAGATTTTGCTAATAGAAGGAACAAAGGTCTAGACATATAATATCGAAATCTTGAGGCTTAGACAATGCTTTTCTGGCTAAAATATTGAGTTAGCCATATTAAAAGATTGGCTCAAAATGAGTCATTTAACAACACTAGTCCGAAGCAATTGCTTCTAAAAATTTGAATGATTAAAATTTTTTAATTAAAAATTATTTTTTTTTGTTAAATTTAATGCTACATCCATCCATAACCAATTGATTTCTGGTTTATGTATGTAATAATAAGACCCCCCACCCCACTTATTAATTAATTTAATATTATTGACAGAAATTTTGGGTGATGTTTAGTAAATTAGGTTGTTATCTGAGATTTCTTGTCATAAATTATTTTTCCAATTTCAAAATATGCCCAAAAATATTAACCAAAAAAATAAAAATGCTTGTTTAAAAATTGCACATCGCATAATATAAGAGATGATAAATGGATAGACTACATTAGAAAAAGACATGGTGGGCTTAATTTTAATGATATAAAGAAAAGCTTTGAAATAGTAGCTTTTAAGAATATTACTCAAAATTAGACAAATAGCAAAGTAATTTTTTTATTAAATATTTAATTGTTTATACTTATCTTATATAGGGTATTAAATCACAATTTAAGAAAAAAGAAGTAAAAAGTGGGAATTCAATGCTGTTGATATAATAAATATTTTTATTAATAATTATTTTTTAAAATTATACTAATAATAACGAAAAGTGCTAGAAGAAAATATAGTATCTGACTCTGATAATGATCATGAAATTTAATCGTGATATTATTGCACATGAATCTTCACAGGCATATATGATGGCCGAATATGGAAGGCATTCACGCAACAAAAATTCCATATAACAATTTAATACCCCAGAAAGAATGTGTGGATAATAACCGTTCTATCATAAGAATAATAATAAGATGTCTAGGTTATTTAATATCTCTTAACCACTTTCTAGGGAAACAGGCAGTAAGAAGGCAATATGATGGACCTTATTAAACTCATTGCAGATTCTGAACCTGTACTCAAAATGTATATCAACAAAATAAAGAAGGGAGAAAAAAAATAAGGGATTAAATACGAAATTTAATTCAAATCTATTATCATATAATAACATCTCTTCCAAAATCCTACCTTCAGTTTCATCGTGGCAGGGGAGTGGCAAGTCTTTTGGCGGCTAATGGAGGTCTAAAAGGTTCCCTGTGATCTGGGTCTAGAATAGGATCACCGTCTCCTCGACGGGGTGTAAAAACCACTTAAAGGGGTTGATGTCAGGAAGGGCATCCGATTGTAAAAACCTTGCTACAAAATTTCCCTATGGTTACAACAAAGCATGGCCGGGGTTCAGTTCAAAGTACCCTGTGGGCCTCCTCATTACAACAAAAAGAAGGATGGGAAACCTGGTGGAACCACGATTCATGAAAATGAAACTTATAGAGGCCATAAACGACCTGATAAAAAGTGGAGAAACCAGTTTACGGGGATCGAGTAAAGGTCACGACATGGAATGTTGGAAGTATGACGGGAAGAGCGGGAAAAGTGGTTGATGTATTGCATAGAAGGCATATAGATGTGTGCTGCATACAGGAGACCAGATGGTAGGAAATGGGAGAAGAATGATTGGCAAGACTAGTGAAAAGTATAAATTCTTTTGGCAAGGAAGTAATAATGGTAAGGCTGGAGTTGGGGTATTGGTTGCAGAGAAATTGGTAGACAAAGTAGTCGAAGTGAGAAGACTAGCTAACCAGATAATGGTTATCAAGATGATTTTGGTAGAATGCTATATAATATTATCTCGGCATATGTTCCTTAGGTTGGAAGAAGTGAAGAAGAGAAAAATATATTTTGGGACAGTCTATTGGGGGTGACATCGAGACTGGCAAATGAAGCCGGGATTATCCTGGCTGGTGATATGAATGAACATGTAGGAGCGAGTAGTGAAGGTTATGAAGGAGTACATGGAGAGTACAGTTACGGCATGAAGAATCTGGAAGGGGAGAGGATTTTAGATTTTAGTGATGCTATGGATATGATTGTCTATAATACAATGTTTAAGAAAAAATCAGAGAAGCTTGTGACTTATAAGTCAGGTAGTACCAAAAGTGCTATGGATGATTTGTTATTAAGGAGATGTGATAGATGTATAGTAAAAAATATGAAAGTGATACCGGGAGAGAAATGTAATAATCAGCATCGACTAGTTATAGGAGATCTTACTTTTAAAGGCGCCAGGATCACTAAAAGAAAGTTAGTGCCAAGACTGAAGGTCTGGAAATTGAAGGAGGAGAATGCAAGACAATTCTATGACATTGGCGATAAAGGAGGCGGAGGTGGCACAAGCATCTGGGGTAAATGACAAGTGGGAAGCCATGAAAAAAGCCTGGGTGATGACAACTGAGGAGGTATGTGGATGGACAAAAGGGCTGCCTAGACATAAGGAGATTTGGTGGTGGAACCCGGAGGTATCGAAAGCTGTGGATGAGAAATGCAGGTGTTTTAAAGAATGGTATAATAGTGAGTATTAGTGTTGTTAATTAGTCGAGTTCTTCCGACTGACTAAAACGACTAATATAGCCGATTAAAGCAACTAATTTAGTCGACTAAAACATATAGTCGACTAAAGCAACTAATTTAGTCGACTAAAACGACTAATATAGTCGACTAAAAACACTAATATAGTCGACTAAAACGACTAATTTAGTCGACTAAGTTGATCTATTTAGTCAGCATATAGGTAAAAATATATATTGTAAACATGTTAAGTTAAAATTTTAGTGTAGATACCACAGAAAAGTCACAATTGTCATAATCGTTATTTTTGAACTTTTTTGAATTTTTTCAAAGTAAATAGGCAAGAATATATATTGTAAAGATGTTAAATAAAATTTAAGTGAAGATGTACCATAGAAAAGTGACAATTGTCATAATCGTTATTTTTTAACTTTTTAAAAATTTTTTTAAAGTAAATAGGTAAAAATATATATTGTAAAGATGTTAAAATAAAATTTCAGTGAAGATGTACCATAGAAGAGTGACAATTGTCATAATCGTTATTTTTTAACCTTTTTGAATTTTTTTAAAACAAATAGGTAAAAATATGTATAGTAAAGATGTTAAAATAAAATTTCAGTGAAGATGTACCATAGAAAAATGACAATTATCATAATATTTATTTTTCAACTTTTTGCTGAAACAAGCTGACTTTAGCCTACGCTTGTTATTATTAACTGCCATAATGACGTGTATGGTTTATTAGCAAACCTCGCTAGCTCTAAATTGACAAATCATGATTGAAATAATATCTAGATTTGATAAATACTCATAAAACTTATTCAAATTATAGACGAGTGTTTAAACTTTCAATAAAATTTAAAATATATAAATTATTATATATTTTAATAGAAATTAAAATTCTGTCATGTAAAAATCTTTTGAAAATTTCACAAAATTTTATTTCTAAATAAAATTTTTAGCAATTATTTATTAATGAAAACTATATCAGGATAAATTAACCTTCTGGTGTGTTTAATTTTAAAATGAGATTAAATGGTTTTCCAAGCCCCTGGGTTTACCTAACTCTAATCTCCCCTATACTATTTTATAATTATATAATTTAACTTCTAATATTTTGCAATTATATTGACTTCAATATAATTGCTATAAAAAGGTTATAATATTGTATAACAAAACATTCAAATAATAGCTTTGAATTAGTGATCTGCATCGGGCCTAATTTTTCAGGCCCGGCCCGAAATATTTTTAAGTTTACCCCGGACTTAACTAAATTTTTTTAAAATAAATTTACCGGCCCGCTCGAATTAATTTAAATACAGAAATTGATTTATATAATTTCTCTAATTAAACGTTATTTATTATATGGTACTATAAATAAAATAAAATATTTTACATAAAAAATTAATCATAAAATTGATAAATTTATATAAAAAAAATTCTAAGGCCCACCCGGCCCGAATTTTCTTAAAAAATATTTGGCCTGACCCAGCACAAATCCAATTTTTTTAAAAAAAATCCCTGCAGAACCTTGCAAATGGTACCTCTACAGGCCTCTGATTTAAATCATGATTTAAAATTTTTTCAATTACAATACTATTCTTAAAATTAATCTTTTTATTCCATAAGTATATTCTAAAAATTAATATCTTTTCTTAAATTAAAATAAAAATATCCTCCCCATCCCCCAGCCTTGGTAAAAAAAAATTAAATAAAAAAAAACAATGAATTTTATATCCAAAAAAATAAAATAAAAATATTTTTTTTATTTATTATCTTGGAGAAAAATTATTATTAAAAAATATAAACAATTAAATCGCAAGGTCTAAAAGTCGAAAGGCTGCATGATACGAAAGGCTAAAAAATAATATTGAAAATAAAAATAACAAAGAAAATGATTAATGTGTAATTTGATTGATTTATTGCTTTTTTTACG